CTTCATCATGTGAGAGTCGAATCATGCATGTGAGTGAGACTTGCTCAAACACATGCTTGGAACTCATGAGTAGAACGAAGCTTGCAATGAAACATCATCATGTGCGAGAATCGAAAGGAACCATCTAGACACTAGAGTAAGCAAAGATAAGAGTTGCGATTTGTTCCTAAGTGAAGAAGAGGAGAGAAAGTGAGAAAAGAGTGAATCTAACTCACTCAAATGCATGAAATCACAAGGGGAGAAATAGCGATTCAGATGGAAGTGAAGAAAAGGACAACCCAAGAGATAATAATCACCAAAACACTTGATTGATCATCGACAAGAATTGTGATTTGCTCCTAAGTGAATAAGAGGAGAGAAAGTGAGAGAAGAGCAGGTCTAACTCACCCAAATGCATGAAATCACAAGGGGAGGAGTGGCGGTTTATATAGAAGTGAAGAAAAGGACAAAACAAGAGTAAATCATCATCTATACACTAGAATAAGCAAGGACAAAAGTTGCGATTTGCACCTAAGTGGAGAGAACGTGAGAAAAGAGTGAGTGTAGCTCACTCAAATGCATGAAAACACAAGGGGGGAAGTGGCGATTCACAAGGGCGTGAAGAAAAGGACAAAACGAGAGTTTAATCATCATTTAAACACTAGAAAAAGCACATACAAGAGTTGCGATTTGCTCCTAAGTGAAGAAGTGGAGAGAAAGGGAGAAAAAAGTGAGTAGAACTCACTCAAATGGATGAAATCACAAGGGGGGAAGTGGTGATTCACATGGGAGTGAAGAATGAGCCCATGGAGAGATCATTACTAGTGAGAAGGCTTCCTTCTCTAAGCTTAGGAAAGTTCCCATGGAGAGAGAAGAAGAGAGTGGGGAGGGGAAAGGGAGGAAGATGAAGGAGATGAAGGAGAAGAAGAAGATGAAGGAGAGAGGGGGGGAGAAAGAAGATAAGGGAGGAAGAAGAAGAAGAAGAAGAAGAAGAAGAAGAAGAAGAAGAAGAATCTCCTCCTTTCCACTCACCTCCTTGATGTCTTGGAGATGGAGCATCAACCTTGATGAAGTCCTCCCTTCCTTGCACAAGAATCTCCTTGGCTATGGCTCTCTTCTTCCCCAAGCCCTTCTCTTCTTCTTCTCTCAACCTTACCCAGGTTATGGCAAGCTTCTCCCACTACGGCTTTGAGTTTTCCCCCTCTAGGAGGGCTAATGGGACTCCCTCTAGCCTCTCTCTCTTTCTCACAGCCTGGGGGTTATGGCGGATCACCTCCCTAGGCCAGCCTCACTACCACTAACCTCTAGGGCTCCTTCTCCTAGCTCACAGTCTCCTCTAAGCTCTCCAACTGGCAGGGGTTCCCCTCTCCTCTCTCCAAGTGAGAAAGTGCTCCTATGAGCTCACTTGGGCAGCATGGGCACTCCTCATGCAAATTTGAGTGTGGCGGATTGAATCCTCAGCGAAGGTACTCTGGCCTTATTTTGGCGAAGTACACAGGGCCTGTAGGCTGATACACGCTCAGTCGAGCAATGTATATGGAGCCAAGGATCCGCAAAGTGATGAAAAGGACTCCTATGGACAATGCAGTGTCAGCAAAGCATCAACCAGCAATGTACCTCTAGAAAATAGCACAAAGTAGCGCAACGGAAGACTCAAAGATATGACCTGACCGATCAGTTACTAACACGACCTCCCATCATACATCACACATGTGAGAGGAAGAGGAGGGACCGCATACATGGAAGAAAGGTCCCTCCTCGTACACACACATGGGGGAGATACCACGGATGAGAGATGGGGGAGAGGCAGGACGAAGATGGAGGTGAGGAAGAAGACCAAAATCGCGATAGCGAAGTCCAGAAATAGCCTCCCTGCCGAATGTCCAATCAATGTCTGCCACAAATGTTGAATCAGATCCTAGGCCAATGCCCGATGTAACCTCTGCCTGTAACCTCTCTTTCTCTCTCTCTCTCTCTCTCTCTCTCTCTCTCTCTCTCTCTCTCTCTCTCTCTCTCTCTCTCTCTCTCTCTCTCTCTATGAAAGAAGAAGAAGAAAAAGAAAAAGGAGGAGAAAGGAGGGAGAAGAGATGGAGGGCGAGACGAAGAAGAAGAAAGTGTCGTCCTCCTCGTTGTCTCACCTGCAGGTAACTGCCGCCATGTACTAACTGTCGTCGTGGTCCTGTGCAGGTCACCGACGTGGAGAACGACTATGGCGCCCAGGTAAGTACCGCCGACAAAGGTATGGCCTCCGCCCCTCTGCCTGCCTACACCTCTACCTCTACCCCAGCATAGCGCGGTAGCGCTGGTTCAGCAGTGTGCCACCCAAAGAAGTGGGCTACTCAAACTGTCGGTTTGTCCTAGCCTGGCCGAGCTATAAGTAGTGTTGGGCCTCGTCGGTCTGCCTCCGTGTGCCTCTGGTTCTAGGCCAAAAACGTGGCCTATTGGGCCTGGGTCCCGACCGAGCGTCCAGACCCTGCCTGTTGATGCAGCAGGGACGTCCGTAGCTGGACGAACACAAACCTGGCCTCAAAGGGCACTGCCTCCTGGTGTACCCAGCCCAAGGCGCAGCATTGGGGATTGCAAGTCCAAAACGATGCCTGAACAGACAAAAATACGACAGCAAACAAATAAATAAATAAATAAATATTATCGTAAATCAAATCCTGCCCCTAAGGGCCGCCGTAGGCCTCCAGGGTGCACGTCAAAAAGGCGCGCGGCCTGGGGGCCCCTCAGCAACCGTCGGGCCCCTAAAATGGGGCCCATGTGCAGGGGCAGCATGTACCCCCCCCCCCCTCCTTATGAAGTCAAGTCGGGTCGACGGGAAGCTGATGGTCCGATGGTGGAACCTGGACGCGAGTATGGCGTGGAGCCGAAGATACCGGCTTGCCTTGTAACTTGCTTCGTAACGTGTGGGAACATCGGGGGTTGTGGCCTGAAGTTCCGCACGGGTCGAGCAAAGGTCAGCTTCATGCTGCCAATGAGATGAGCCATATCGTTTGAAGAGCGCCAGCCCCCCAAAAAATATCGGACATGAACCAAGTGTCGCGGCCGCAAACGATCTCCTTGGGGTAACCCTTGGGACAAATCCAACCGGCGTCGAGAACCTCGGTTAACTCCGGTGCCTTGGCATGATGGCGGCAAGGCAGCAACGTGGCAAACTTGGTGGGTCGATCTACCACCGTGACAAAGTGTCCGGTGGGGGGAACGGAACTCGCCAAGAAGATGAATAAGCAAGTGTGGATCACTTGGCACGCCAAAGAAGATTCTTCCCCCGCGAGTGGACTAGCAAATAGCCCTCTTGGATCGGATAATGCGATGGTGCCGGATTGTGAGAGGAGCAGTTCGCGTATTTGTCGCAAAACTTGGGGTCGACTTGGTAGCCGCGGATGAAGTTGTCCCGCGAGTCATCGTCAACCTCGAAAGTCGAGTAGGTCTCAGTACAATGGTCCAGACGTCGAACGAGAGCATCCGCAAAATGGTTTGACTTTCCCGGACTGGTCCCCAATTCGTTGAAAACGCAGTCGTGGTGAACAGTCGGTCTTCGTGATGAAAGAAGGGAGTCAAATGGCTGATTCCCTTGGCCCACTTGTAAGCATGAGTGGCTCAGAGAATCGTGGCCGAAATATCAGCGCACCAAAACTTGTTGAGTAACCAAGCCCCGCAAGACCCGTGAACGAATCCGCAGGTGAAGACTCGGTTGCTGCAACAAAATGAAACAAGAACCTCGTCGAGGGACCGATGTCTATAAGATCCGAAAATGGATACGTAGATGAAAGTTGGTTGCTGTGACGGGGTGAAACGAAAAACACGTCGAGTAACTGAGGCACGCGAGATCCGAAAACGGATCCATCGGTGAAGAGTCGGTCGCCATGACAAGGGACGTCCACCAACTCGTCAAGTAACCGGGGCACCTGAGGATCCGAAAATGTATCCATAGGTGAGAAGTTGGTTACCATGACAAGTGGAACAAAGGTGGAGGTCGAGTTCCTCAGCCGTGCAAAAGCACAAATGGCCCCGAAAAAAAACTGTGGCCGAAACAACTTGGCAACAGGTCGGAGGGTGAGGAGGAGGAAAGAACATGGGACTTCCACGTCACAAAGGCGTTGCGAATGGTAATCGTCCGCTGGTGGAAGTTGACCATGTGATCCGCACTAGGAAGTCAAGGCCTCCTATCAATACGTCGGTGCATGACCGACGCAAGGTGAAACCGCCTCCGAACTTGTGTGCCAAGGCCAGTGCGTTCAATGAACGGCTGGCTGCTCAGATCGCGAGTCGCTCCACGAACCGGCGAAGCGCTGCAGGACGTTTACCATAAAAGGACGCGGACTGGAAGGAGCTGTGCGTAGCTGTGATCGTGCCGCTGCGTGCGAACTCGCCCGACCTTCATAAAACAATCAAGAAGGGCGGCCACCGCGACTCCGTCATCCGTCGGCGAAGTTGGTGGTGCATAGAAGGATAAGTACACGTGTGAATGGGCGCAACTTGTGGCGCGATGAGGTCCCGGTGAGCAGCTCGCAGGGAGAGGCAAAATGAAATCCTCGGGCGTGAACGGGTTCAAGTCCTCCATGTTGAACTTGCAGGCTGAATCCCTTGAAGAAGTCGAAAGCGTTGAAGTCGAACTGCAAACGGACAGAGAGGAAACCGCTGAAGTGATGGGTACTCGTCCTTGAACAAAGTGGCTCAGCGGTGGAACTAGACGGGCAGCGAACTGCAAACGGACGGAGAGGACTCACGACTTCCGCATGTACCCCGGATCCAAAGGTGGTTGCTCGCGAGGCAGCCTGGTCCGGCGGCATCGGGAGTGCAGTCGTAAGACTCAGTTTTCCGAACGGTTTGAGCAGGCGGCGGTCTTGTCGTCGTCGCTCCACAAGTAAACTTATACTTCATCCACATCCGGTACGTGGCCTCGGCGATGCCATGATAGGTCCAAGTTTCCTGAGTCGGTTGCCTGGTCCCAGAAAATGATGATGAGGTGGACGCCTTCTTCTTGCCTGTGTCGTTGCACTTGGGCATAAAATCACCTCTCCGGGGTGCTGCTACCATGTCACCCTTGCCCATGGTAACGTGTTCCGAAATATCGATGGCCGGTGAGTCTGCGGCCACAACAACAGGTTGTTGTTCTAGCTGTCCCTTGTTCGCTGCCACAGATACCGGCAAAGTAATTTGCGGAGCTCTGTGTTCTGCAGCTGCTGCATCTTCTACCAAGCGGCGAGCCTCCTCTGCCTCTGCCTCCCTCTTCTTGCAAGCGGCGGTACTTGCGGCCAGTCTGCTCTCGAGCTCCTCAGTAATGGAGTTCAGGCGGACTATGTAGGTGTCGTCGGTTTCACCTGGCTCACGGCGTAACAAATCGTCCACATCAGACTCCCATTCCCTATGGTCCATAGTTGCGGTTTGTTCCAAGTCCGCAGAAGACTGCACCGCTGTCATGGCCTGCTGGCGTGGCCTACTGATGTGGCCTGCTGACGTGTCACCACTGACGTGTCGATGCCGAGGAGGAGGAGAAGCCGAGATAAAAAAAAAGAAGGACAGCATGCACAACAGGGGTGGGAGGGAGGGAGAAAAAATTCACAGCATTTCCCTGGTCCCCATGGGGCGAGACAATCGCCCAGGTTCACTGCAATGGGGGTAAGAAGTTCCCCTTTGTCGGTGCAAATACCCTTACAAGGGTATCCGCCCTGGGCTTTGCAAGCGACAAAGAATAAGTTGGATTAAAAATTGAAGTACACGGCGCGAGGTGCGGCCGCGTCTGTGATTTACATTGACTAGGAGGTTGACTAGAATAAAAAGTGTGTGGGCGCGCAGTTTTAAGGCGCGGGTGATTTTTTTTTCTTTTGTACTGTCCATGAGGCCAGCATAGTCAGCCGGCCTGGTCTTTATTTGTTGATTAAGGTAGCGATATTAAAGTTTTTGTCTTCCTACCCGGCGCATTCGGCCAGCGGTAGGTTTGGTGGGCTGAATGGTGCTTGTGGCGGTCGTGGCAAAGTTTGAGCAGGCCGGCGTGAACGTCTAGCGGTCGGGCTTGGCCGCAGGTAGGGATGAAGCCCAAGCCGTTTTCTCGGCCCTGGGCATAGTTCTACAGCATTTCATATAGGATTCCACGCGCGCTGGTCTTAGGCTTGGGCTTAGCCCTATAGGTTATGGCGTTGGAATTGTAAAACGGAGGTGCGGGGATCGAGACCAGCGGGCGACGGCACGGGAGCAAGCGTTGGAGAAGCCGCGGGGTTGAGAGTCCCGCGGGACTGTCCCCCTTAATTTTGCCGGGGGAGTTTGACCGCGGGCCGTCCCGCAGGACCAACGGAGCGCCGGTAGGTCCCGCGGCCTGTTTTTTGTCGGTTGCCCCTTTTATTTTTTGGGGTTTTATTTTGGTTTTGTGGATATTTTGTTTTCCTCCTTAAAATTGGAAGTCATCGGGGGCCGATCACCGGGCCGCTGGCCTGAGGTAGCAGGTATACCCACGAACTGTTGGAATATAGGCCCACGTTCGGGCCCAGATGTTGGCGCTTGCTGAGTAAAACCGCGTATTCTGGACTGCCTGAAGCCGCTCGAGCTCTGAAGGGCCACGGGGCCCTGCCACGGGTGAGTCCTTCGGGACATTTGTTAAAATTGGAACGATGAAGAGAAGATTAGCATGGCCCCTGTGGACGGACTGGCGCGGATAAATCGGGGGTAGTTCTTCGTTTTGCTTGTTTTTGTTTGCCTGCCCCATTTTTATTTTTTCATTTTTTAAAACCTGGTCGTCGCAGAGTCCAATCGCGGTGCGCTATCTCGGCCGCAGGGTGCTGGTTCGGGTTGTTAACAATACGAGGAGGAAGAAGACGGGGAGTAAGGCAAGAACAGGATTGGCAAAGAAGAAGGAGGGAGATTCTACTACGCTTGTTCCTAGATGGGATCAGGCGGGGAAAGAGGGCCGAAATAGGGGTTTTCGGTCGGGACGACCTCGATTCTGCGGTCAGTACCGGCAGGAAGTTAGCAGCTAGCGAGCTAGCAAGGAAGAACCGTGCGTAGAGATGGCGGAGACAAGTGATGAGGATGGAGTGAAGATTGCGTTAAGTTTACTCGATTCTTAGTAGGATCGAGCGAGGCACGAGTCGATTTCGGGGTTCTAGTGCGAGGCGAGTCCGAAGGAGGTGTTAGTTTTGCGTAGGATTAGTAGAACGCGAGCGCGAGGGAAAGTGAGATGCGTAGGGAGGCATTACGGTGTGTCAGGAAAGCAAGCGAATCAAGCGGAAGATTTGTTCGATTTGGCTCACCCGATCAAGCGGGATAGTGAAGAAGCGACGACGCGAGATCGAAGCACTTACCTCGTATCGCTCGCGGTGCATGCTCCCATATTCTAGCGGGAGACCCATTCGTACTTGGTTCACTTGGTGAGTCGAGCCGAGGGGCACAGCGTAGTGAGTCTCAGCATGTTGTGAAGAAGGAGAGAAGTGCGGGAAGGGAGTCGAATGGGGAGTTAATGGAGTGGAGGGAAGGAAAGAAGAAGACGGTGTGAGACTAGTCGGGCAGGAGATACATGTTGACAGTAGCACTGCCTATCTTCTCGAACGGAGTAGCGGGACGAGAGGGTTAAAAGGTTGAATACTTACCTACAGGTTGTTCACAGCCGGGCGAGCGAGTGTGTTGTCGACGGAAAATTAGATGAGCAGAAGTACGGATTACGGTAGTCTGAGTAGGCTGCCCTGTATCTTGTCGTGAGGGCTGGTCTCCGGGCGGGGACTCCATCTGTACCGGTTGCAATTTCTGCTAAGCTCGAGTTCTGTTGAAGTACATCTCCGTGGGATCGCACCTTCTGCTGCGCATTTGTTGGGGCATTACAGAGGTGCATGACAGTTGCGCGCGATTGCTGAACGCGCAACACTGCTGGGGGTTTTGTTTCGGCATCCACTACGACTGTCTTTGGGTATTGGTGTTGGCAGCATCTTGCTGGTGTTTACTGTGTGGCACAACAACGACTGTAGTTGATGACTATTTGTTGTTGTAGCGGCTTACAACTACGGCACACTGCAGTATTGTGCCCGGCACGTTGTGCAAGTTGCAGCAGGCCAGCCACGAGAGTGCAGGCTAACGTGTGACCAGTGCACCTTGGGTCGTGCGCTCGACAGGGTGGCATGATCGTGCTTGTGAAACGGGTTATTGCTGCAAACTAGGAAGTCGTCAGAGAGCTGACCTTGGCGTTTTGACTTCGGTTGACCAAGCTGTTTTGGATTTTTGGCTGCCATTGCGGGACCCTCAGGCGATCAAAGATATCCAGGCCCTCTCTCGTGAGTCTGAGTGCAACTCCCTTGGATCTGAGAGACTTAAAAACATCTATTTCTGCCCTTCTGACTCTAAGTTTAATCTTTTGGTTCTGTAAGGAAGGCGGCAGGCGGGATTGCAACCTGTAGGTCCGCATCAAGACTCTGTGGGGAGTCAGCCCACCGATTGCGGGAGCTCTGCCGGAACTCAAGAGGAGTTCTGAAGGCAGGGAACTCAAAGGTAACCATTGCTTCCCCTTTATAAACCCAATTATAACCCCTACCTGTACATCTTGCTATGTTTGACTGAGTATATAGCATGCCCTCTACCTTTGACTTTGGGTTCAACTTTCAGGACAAAAGCCAGGCTAAGTAAAGGAATGCATGTGTAATCTCGGTTTCAGTTTTATTGATTGGCTGAAAGCAGATTGTAAAAAAAGGGGTTGCATCAAGGGGAAGGTGGGAGGAAGGCGGTTTTGCTTGAGCTTGAAATGGTCTTAGAGGGTCAGGCATTGTTTCTAAGAGGAATGGTTTGACTGCTAGGTTTTGTTCTGTTTTATGAAGGGCCAAGCATTGTTTCTAAGACGAATGGCTTGGTCGTTGTGTTTCTTGACTTGTTTTCTCCACAGCCAGGCATTGTTTCTAAGAGGGATGGCCTGGTTGTTGTTTTGTTTTGGGGTATTGACTGTGAAAACTTAAAGGACCGGACATTGTTTCTAAGACGAATGGTTTGGTCGGTGTTTACTTTTTGGGTGGTTTCTGAATAGTCTCTGGGTCTTGACCCAGAGTACTTTGTTTTTGGTTGTTTTATTCTGAGGAAGGTTGAGCATTGTTTCTAAGACGAATGGCTCAATCCTTTTGGTTGTTTTATTCCGAGGGAGGTTCAGGCCAAAGACTGGACATTGTTTCTAAGACAATTGGTCTAAGTCTGAGGCCACAGGATTTCAACATGAACAAGGGAATACGACTCTCTATATTTTTATATCTATATTCTTATAAGAACAAGGCTAGCCGGACATTATTTCTAAGACGAATGGTCTGACTATAGCCTTATCACAAATTGGGAGAGTATAATTAAAGAGCTATAACTGAAGGTAACCTGGGCCGGCTGAGCATTGTTTCTAAGTCGAATGGCTCAGTCCTGCGCCCACTTTTAAACATTAAACTCAGAAAGATATATATAACTTGGCTATTCAACAGATCAAGGCGACTAAGCATTGTTTCTAAGACGAATGGCTTAGTCATATGCCCAATGAAGAGAGAAGTAGGTGTGCAACCTGTTCGTGTATAACTAAGGCAAAGAGTTGGCATTGTTTCTAAGGCGAATGACCTAACTCGATGCCCTATGTAAGTTGGGTATAGGGATAAATCATTGAAAGACTATGAACTATTGGTTGCCAAGATTGACTAGTGTTGGTGAGACTACTTACCTTTGTGATTTGGCCTGCATGTGACTGAGTGTGACGACTATTTAGTCTGAGTTTCAGTTTGATAGGTAGTTGTTTTAGTTGCTCGGCACGTGCTAAAGCGATAGGAGTTAGTTCAATTCCTGCATTTTCTGAGCTAAGTTTTTTTCTTAGATCAATTTTTGCATTTTCTGAGAACTTTTACTAGACTTGGTCTTGTGTAAATCTTGATAAGTCACTTTCTCTACGGGAAGCGCTGCCGAAATTTCTACAAAACCAAGAAGTTAGTCAGATTTTGTTATTTTCAGGATCCAGTTTTTCTGACTTTCTGGCTTAGTAAAAACCTGGAAAACCTCCTTTTCTAAAGGGAGTGGTGCCCAAATTTTTTGCTAATTCAGGGATTTGGTCACTTTAAATTATGAACTGAGCTTTGTATAAATCTTAGAAAGACACTTTTCCTACGGGAAGCGCTGCCAGAATTTTCTTAGTTTAAAGGAGTTAGATTATATTTTGACAGGTGGCGATTCTGGCAATCCACCCTGAATAGGGGAAATGTTGCCATAGGTCTGCCTTGCGTTGGGCACTGGCTTAGAGGTAGGCTTAGCTTGTAGAAGGGTCTTGGGTGAGGATGTGTTATGGAGTTGTATTCTCCATACACTTATGATTTTAGCTTGAGGATTGGTTTGTCTTATGTTTCAGGTCTTCTTAATCGATTGATTCAAGACTTGGGCTACATTCAACTCGATCCTACAAGGATCATCTTCTGTTATCATTGATAACAAGCCGGTTGTCGATTCGTCGGTTTACGATTTAACT